GTTAAAGTCCACGAAAGTAACGTTTTATCGGCAAAGTACTGTGTTTTGAAAATGCCTACCTAAAAATCATCCATTCTTCGAGGAGAAAAGTTAAAATCCAATAAAGTTACGTCTTTAAGGCAAAGTTCTGTGTTTTGAAAGTGCGTGCATAAAAATCATCCATTCTTCGTGGAGATCAGTTCAAGTACAATAAAGAAACGTTTTAAGGCAAAGTAACGTGTTTTGAAAATACCTGCATAAAAATTATCCATTCTTCGTGGAGATCAGTTAAAGTCCAATAAAGTAACGTTTTTAAGGCAAAGTAACGTGTTTTAAGAAGGCCCTACATAAAAAACCATCCATTCTTCCTGGAGTATGGTTAAAGTCGAATAAAGTAACGTTTTACTGACAAAGTACTGAGTGTTTTGAAAATGCCAAATATAAAATCATCCATTCTTCGTGGAGATCAGTTAAAGTCCAATAAAGTAACGTTTTTAAGGCAAAGTAACGTGTTTTGAAAAGACTACGCAAAAATTCATCCATTCTTCGTGGAGAAAAGTTAAAGTCCAATAAAGCAACGTTTTTAAGGCAAAGTACTGTGTTTTGAAAATGCCTGCATAAAAAGCCATCCATTCTTCGTGGAGTATGGTTAAAGTTGAATAAAGTAACGTTTTACTGACAAAGTACTAAGTTTTGAAAAGACTACACAAAAATTCATCCATTTTTCGTGGAGAAAAGTTAAAGTCCAATAAAGTAACGTTTTTAAGGCAAAGTACTGTGTTTTGAAAATGCCTGCATAAAAGCCATCCATTCTTCGTGGAGTATGGTTAAAGTTGAATAAAGTAACGTTTTACTGACAAAGTACTGTGTTTTGAAAATACCTAATATAAAATCATCCATTCTTCTTGGAGATCAGTTAAAGTCCAATTAAGTAACGTTTTTAAGGCAAAGTAACGTGTTTGAAAATGCTTACATAAAATTCATCCATTCTTCGTGGAGTATGGTTAAAATCGAATAAAGTAACGTTTTACTGTCAAAATACTGTGTTTTGAAATTGCCTACATATAAAAATCATCCATTCTTCGTGGAGATAAGTTTAAGTCCAATAAAGTAACGTTTTTAAGGCAAAGCACCGTGTTTTGAAAATGATTACATAAAATTCATCCATTCTTCGTGGAGTATTGTTAAAGTCGAATAAAATAACGTTTTACTGACAAAGTACTTTGTTTTGAAAATGGCCTACATAAAAACTCATCCATTCGTAGAGATCAGTTTAAGTCCAATAAAGTAACGTTTTAAGGCAAAGTAACGTGTTTTAAGAATGCGTACATAAAAACTTGGCATCCAATCTTATTAGAGAAAACTTAAAGTCTATTAAGGTAACGTTCTAAAGGCAAAGTAACGTGTTTTAGAAATGGCTACATAAAAAATCATCCATTGACAATGAACGAACGTTTTAAAGGCAAAGTAACGTGTTTTAAAATGCCTGCATAAAACATAATCTATTCTTCGTAAAGATAATAATTATATCACCAGGTTTCAACAGCCAAGGTAGCCAACGTTCCTTAATTACTTTTCATAATAACAAAACGAAATAAACAGTACTTTTAAAATGTCAATATTTTTTGTCCCTATATCGTGACATATATATTGAAATAAGTTGAAAAAAGACCTTTTTGACCATGAAAAGGTCATTGAAGGATTTTGAAATAATGGTAAATTTGTAGCAAGTTGAAAAAAAACTTTTTGACCTTCAGAGGTCATTTAAGGTAAAATATTTTTTCGACCTTGAGAATATCATTGAAGGTCAAATCTATAGTCAGATTTAAACTTTTGAGAACTTCTAGTTGATTTTGAAAAAAATCAATCTGAAGCAAATTGTAAAAGATCTTTTTGACCTATTTTGACCTTGAGAAGGTCAATGAAGGTCAAATCTCAATTCTAAAATTCTCTGATAACTTGCAGATGATTTTGAAAGAAAAATTGTCAATTTGAAGCAAGTTGAAAAAAGCTTGAGAAGGTCAATGAAGGTCAAATCTCAAATACGAAGTCAGATTTGAACTCCTGATAACTTGTAGATGATTTTGAAAAACAAAATTGTCAATTGAGTTGAAAAAAGACCTTTTTAACCTTTTTTGACCTTGAGAAGGTCAATGAAGGTCCAATCTCAAATTTTAAGTCAGATTCAAACTTGTGATAACTTGGGGATGATGCTGAAAAAAGTTTGACTTTGATTGAAAAAAAATTTGGTCAATAGGATAGTTTCTAAATAGCAGAAAAATCAATGAAATCTCGTGCTGCCATCTTTTATTCAGCTTTTAACTCTGGCTAGAGCTCCATTCACTTACATGCTAAAATCTTGGAAAAGTGGCTTAATTTCATGATTTATCAAAGTGTGTTTGTTGAATCTGTATAAAACTTGAATGATATACCACATGATGACCCTGTTTATGAACATGTTGTGATTAAACATGCTAATGTTGATTGACATACAAATAATCCACGGTTTTAAAGAATTTTAGCATTGCATCTATGGACATATGGCCCAACTTTTTTTAAATTGTCATAGAAAATTATTCAAATTACATAATTGTGTAAATCAAAGCTATTTTAGGAGAAAACATTCCACTGAATTCAAATATACCATTTAAAAGAAGGTAATGTAAGTCATTAGAGGTCTAATATGCAAGTCTCTTAAAATCTCACGAAAAACGAGATTTAGCGAGATTTCAAAAGCTATATGGAAACTATACTATTTGAAACAAGTTGAAATAAAAATACCTTTTTTGACCTTTTTATGACCTTGAGACGGTCAATGAAGGTGAAATCTCAAATCTTAAGTTAGGTTTGAACTTATGATAACTTGTAGATGATTTCGAAAAAATTGGTCAATTGAAGCAAGTTGAAAAAATACCTTTTCGACCTTTTTTGATTTTGAAAAGGTCAATGAAGGTCAAATCTCAAGTCATATTTGAACTTCTGATAACTTTTAGATAATTTTGAAAACTGAAGTCAGGCTAAACAGTATTTCTTCCTAAGTTATTGGAAGTTGTAACAATTTGTTACAGACACCAACTGCCAACTGCCGATCACCAACCGCCGTAAAAAAAACAGAGACCATAACAATATGTCATCACTTTTTGGTGGTGACATAATTAAGGATGCTGTAACACAAAAATACTGAGAAGTGTCACTTACGGTTGAAAATGTCTATATACAGTAAAACCTGAGTTCACTGTATGAAATATAATAAACAAAGAAGTATAATGTTGTCTAAAATGAAAATGCCAGTACAAGAAAATCCATTTATTTATTTGATGTCTGGCAAAGATCAAAACTGTATAAATGTAGCAAAATATATATTTACATCCAGTACCAATAGCTACCTGTATATCTCTAGTGCACCAATGCATCAGCATCATTAAAAGTAATAGTTATGTAGTTATGTAAATGTCTTCTTTTTTTCTTCCTTTATAATTGTTATATTTTTTGTTTGTACATGTACTTGACCCTGAGGGGTGTGAATGTACTTGAAGAATAAATAAATATAAGATTTCTCACGGATTTTCTGCAACTGCCTTATCAGAATTAAGCAGTTTTTATTTTTATATTACCTGCCAAAAATAATTAAAAGGTCAATTTGATCTCTTCCTCTATTTAAACAGGTGTGACTAATTACAATTCTTAATAAGGTTTGTTTTTGTAAGACAGGATATGTGTCTGGGATTGATTGCTTGGAGATATAATCTGGTTAACTATTATAACCTCTATCTGCTAAGTCCCAACTTAATCTTTTTCTCATCCTGTCAATTTAAAAAACAGATTGGATTAAAATTATAATTCATGATCATTTCACTATTAACTGAGTCTAGTGAATTTAATGAAAAATGGAAAATGACTAAAACATAACTCATTATGCATTATTGTAATTAATGGTATCATTGTATTTCTGTGTCTTAAAAAGATTCCTAAATATTTGATTGGTTCATCAGTAAAAATTGTATTTTCACATTTTTTTCAGTCTTAATTTTTTCTAAGCCAAATGCCTTCAGTTTTTTCTATGTTTAACTTTAATGAAAAGTGAATATCGTCCGCATATTGGGACATCTTATATTCTTTGCCATCAAAAGTTATACCTGATATATCATTATTTTGCTGAATTGCTAAGTTCATAACTTCGCAACATAAAATAAATTCCATTGTGGAAACAGGGCAACCCTGCCGATATGAGCGTTCAATATCAATATTTTTTGATAACCATCCATTTTGCTTAATGTTTAAGAAAGGTTTTTTGTATAAAAGTTTCAGCCATTTGATAATCTTATCACTAAATTGAAATTTTTTCAACATTTCATACATAAAATTCCACTCTATACTATCAAACGCTTTTTGGAAGTCAAGAAAGATTATAGCGCCACCTATTTGATTTTGATTTTCAAAATATTCAGATACATCTTATACCAGTCGGCTACTATTTCCTATAAAATGACCATTAATATAAGCCGTTTGTTGCAGACCAATTGATTTACCTTTCACCTTTTGAAGTCTTTTTGCCAAAATAAAAGCTAAAATTTTATAATCTGTATTAGATAATGATATTGATATCTATCATGTCCTTTAACTAATTCGATAAAGTCATTTAACTGACTCAAATGTGTCAAAGATTCCACTTTTTAAAGGACCATCTAAATGAGATAATAAGAATTATAAAGAGATTAAAATTTGACAATAAAAGGATGAACCATTCAGATGACAGTCAGTCTAAAATAAGTCTAGGTCAAGTTTCTATAACATTGCAACAAATCAAATACTTATCGTTATTTGAGTCCCATAAAATACAAATTAAATCGATTATTCCCTCCTCTCTTTTAATAGCTGGTCTCTTTACATAATACAGCAAAATGTCGCAAAATCAAATCATTGCTGTAGTGAACACCTACCAACAGTGAACAATTTTTTGCTGAGTTTTTCTTGGCAAAAATTGTTCACTATATGCAGGTTTATGTAAGTAATTTACTCACTTCTATATTCATCATATCATCAAGCCGCTCTAACACTTTCTTGAAAGCACTTAGTTGCCTGGTCTTGTTGAATGCCTCCCATCCTTCCTCAGTTGAATGACCAAACAGACTGAAAACATGAACATTTGCTAGATTAGACAATTCTCACCCAAACTTTCATGGGACGGTGCCTTCTGTTTTGTTTTGAGAGATACATTTTACCATGGGTCTGGTTAAGCTATTTATTCAAAAAATTTATACATTCTCTGTCATCCTGATTTGCATTTTGCTGTAAAAGTGGTTTATATTTTGCACAATGTAAAATATAATTTCTTTTTCAAGTTAATCTGAAAACATAGGATCAAATCCTATGCTAAGGGCTGATGTGAAAAATACACTCCTCCCTAGTAGGAATCGAACCCACAACCTCCCGATTACATGTCAGGTGCTCTACCACTTGAGCTACGGAGCCGACTGACTTTTTCACATCAACATTGCATATGTGCCATCACAGCGAAAAGACTGATCAATTGAAAGGAAATTTATGATATACTCCTCTCTCATGAGTTATTACCTGGAAACATGAATGGACGAATGAATGGACAGACGGTGGGATAATGATACATTATTTCGTACTAAATGTTTACATGTATATTATAATTGAGAAAGTTATCATAATTACTTCATAATGTATATGCACAATCTATAATTCGTTTATATTTGCAAAAATAAATAAATATTCATCAATGGAACTTTTAAACTTAATTCGTCACCAAACAATGAATTGAATTGACTCACTGTTTGATGTTGTGTGCAGTATACATCTGGAGAGAATGTTGCTGATCCATGAATGTATCTGGGAACTCATTATGTACCAAAACAGTAACCATAGTAACATTCTCATCTTCATCGTCTTCTCTCACTGACCATTTACTCCACTCACAACTAGGGTCATGCTACAAAAAGAATGTTTAGATCCAGAGTCATAATATACTATAAAGTTAGAGATAAATAAACAGAGTCATATTACAATAGCAATATTTTCAACCAGGGTCATACTACAATAGTAATGTTCAAAACCAGAGTCATACTATAATAGTAATGTTTAGTCATACTACAATCTAAATGTTCAAAACTTGAGTCATACTACAATCTAAATGTTCAAAACTTGAGTCATACTACAATAGTAATGTTTAAAACTTGAGTCACACTACAATAGTAATGTTTAAAACCTGAGTCATACTACAATAGTAATGTTCAAAACCAGAGTCATACTACAATAGTAATGTTTCAACCAGAGTCATACTACAATAGTAATGTTCAAAACCAGAGTCATACTACAAAAGTAATGTTCAAAACCAGAGTCATACTACAATAGTAATGTTCAAAACCAGAGTCATACTATAATAGTAATGTTCAAAACCAGAGTCATACTACAATCTTAATGTTCAAAGCCAGAGTCATACTACAATAGTAATGTTTAAACAAGGATCATACTACAATAGTAATGTTCAAACAAGGATCATACTACAATAGTAATGTTTAAAACCTGAGTCATACTACAATAGTAATGTTTAAACAAGGATCATACTACAATAGTAATGTTCAAACAAGGATCATACTACAATAGTAATGTTCAAAACCAGAGTCATACTACAATAGCAATGTTTCAACCAGATTCATACTATAATAGTAATGTTTAAACAAGGATCATACTACAGTAGTAATGTTTTGAACCAGGGTCATACTTCAATATTAATGTAAAAAACCAGGGTCATACTAAAATAGCAATGTTTAAAACCAGAATAAAAAAGAAGTAGTCAGAAGACTGGTCACCAAATACATTGAAAATAGATGTGATGGGTACAGCTATTGAATCCTTGGTGAATCATTCATTATCATAAAACTACTCTTACAACTATTTTACTTTTCATCTTCTTTTAGGTGAGACATAAGGGTCAACAATTTCTGATTATCGTGGGAGTAATGTTGTTGTAAATAGTAAACTAACCTGTATTAGTTCTTTCATACAAGTAGCTGTTGCTAGCCGCACCTTGCTAGCATATTTGCCTTTTTCTTGAAGCTCCCTTAAATAACAGAAACATTTTACATTATCACATACTATGTAGAAATCTAGTGATTTGATTGGTTGCTTTCTGTGACGTATTTCCCGTATCACATAAATTTCATATGATACGAGCACACATACCACATGTTCTCTATGGTAACGAAATGACGTCATACAACTTCATTCTATTCTTTCCTAATTCAAAATGATGTCACATATAGGCTATGTTACTATTTCTTAGAAATGATGAATTCGTCATTGAGGAACTAGAAGTTAGAACGACCACGTGCCTGATCAAAGAAAGCTACCAATCAAATCACTAGATTTCTACATAGTATGTGATAAAATCATCATCACACATTTCAGCGTATGTGATACGGGAAATATTCCACTCAGTAAAAAAGAATCACCACTCAAGCTTCACTTTCGTGGTTATACAATTTTTACTTTCGTGGAATATTTCCAGTATCACATGCTGAAACGTGTAATAACTGATAATATCACTTGTAGTTTTTAGTTTTAGTATTCAATACTACACAACATTCACTAACATTACATTTTCACCTGATTATGTTTTAGTATTTAACACACTACAGGATTTGTACACCATATCTAAAAGATGAGTGTTCATTTAAAAATCTGAAACACTTAAAGCAAAGTGTATGAGAAGCCATACATAGAGTGTAAAAGTTTTGATGACTATAAATAGCAGGAAGTTAAGTTTGATCCAATTAGATATGAGAGGACGGCCACATTTCTTAATCTAGGCTGCATTATGTACATGCTTTATTGACCGCAAGCAAGATTTTGATCCTAAAAATTGGCTAGATTGTGGTTAGATTAATTGATTCTTGTAGTTAAAACAGCTAAATATTAAAACAGACATATACTTTCGCTTCAATGGTCAAAAATAGAATGTGTTACTGAATAACTTTTTACAATGCAGAACACATTTAAGAATGTCCTTTGCTTAGAAACTTATACAAAGCTTGATAATAGAAAAAAAAGACAATCAATAGCCAAGTTTAGACTTCAGCTTAAACAAACTTTGAATTAAAACGGGCAGATATTCTAAACCTAAACCTATTCCAACAAATAATAAGACTGTTTAACTTGTAAATCTGTAGAAGATGATAGACTTTTTTTTATTAATTGTAAAAACCATGACGCACAAAAAAGTATCCTTCTGGCAAAATGAACCAAATATTTGGACCCAATTTTCTGATCAATGAAACAAATTTTAAAGTGCTATTGTCTACCCAAAATGTTACTGTTCAAAGACATATTGGCAAATATATTTACCACTCTTTCCAAATTTAAAGTTAACTATCAGTACAGATACTGCACTAAACTGCTAATGTGTTCTTTATGTTTCATGAATCATGTTTTACAAAAAGCCAGTAAAATTATGTCACATGTATATAGTGTAGTTAAAAATGTAGTTTAGTTTTGTCTTGAGTCAAGAAAACCTAGACTGTACATACATGTAGACTAATGTGTCATGTTTTGATATAATTTTCAAAAAGAAATATATATTGGGCAACCATGTCAAATTCACTTGCTCCAGTCATACAAAAAATACACCCGAAGATTTTTATACAGGAATATTTATACAGGCTTTATACTGCATATTGTGAAATCAAATCATGATGTATGCCCGGGGATGTATGTATAAATATACAATAAGAATAAGTTGAACAATATTCAGCTAGAAAACAGCAACTCAAAACATATTTTATTCAATATATTGTCATTTTGGACATAACATGATACAATAAAATTTTGTGAGAGATATTATAACTGGTATTTTAAGTTATTATAAACATTTTCTCATCAGCAAATAAAATTTGAACTAACAACTTGAAATCAATGGTCATATTCAAAATGCCTCATTAAGCAGATACTCCAGTTGCTGGGAGTGTTCTGCTGAAAACGTAAAAGTCATGGAATTTGAATTTCTCAACCTTGAACACATATCCTATTTAACTAGATGTGGGTCAATTTTTAGAGAAAAAATCCCTAGATGTGGGTAGATATTTTGAGTCTCAGCGGCAACCCCTGTGCAAAATTTGACCAGTACCCCCCCCCCCCCCCCCCTAACCTCCACTCATATTTTCAATTGACTGGATTTGTCACAGGAATATATTTTACTTGACCAGACTAATCATATAAGTAAACTGCTGTGGCCTAGTAGCTGGCCAATCCAAAAATGAATATTTTACAAACCAGTACTGGAAAATATGCCTCATCTCTTCAGAATCATTTTTATTCCTCACAAAAGAGAATGGAATAGAACATATTTCTTAGGAGAATTAAAGATTTTTCACAGTTCATGTATTTTGTACAGATCATCTTAAGAGAATAATTTTGAAACACCAGATTTTTCTATTAATGTAAACATGGTTACTCTTTTCAATGGACTCATCTTAAATACTCATCTTTGGTCAACATATAGAGGTCGCAACGGTACTGAAAACCAGTTCCGGTAACCGTCACGCTAATAACCGTACCGTTACCGAAATACCGGTAAAGATATGTAAGATAAAATGCCAATGTGCTGCCACCCCCACTTTGTTCCTAACTCTCTCCGTAGCTTCTCAAGTCTATATGCATACAGGGTGTCCCGAATGTATGAACCCCCCACCCTAGGCAGACATACACCAATGTTCCCATAGTATGTGTCATATATCATTTTAAAGCTCATCCAAAGTTACATTAATTTGCCAAGTATCATCGTCCAACTCACAATTGGGAAAAAGTTACAGCCATTTCAAAACTAAGTGTTTGGCCAAAATTAAAGTTAAAATCAGTATCCTTGAAACACCGCTAACCTGAATGGGTCCTATCGTTAAAGAGAGGATGGATATTGAGTTGTAAAAAGAGGTCGGTAAGAGCAGATACTCCGAGGAAGCTCTTCTAAAATGCCTTAAAAAGGTTTTATGAGGATTATTAAATGCCATACCCCTATTTGCAGTGTATTTAAGGTCATATCTGGAAAGAATTGCTACTGTTAACATGGCCAAGGGAGACACTGCGACTATTAATTTTGTGTAAAAATAAACTTTAATTTTGGTAAAACACTTCATTTTGAAATGTGTGTAACTTTTTCTTGTTTGTGAGTTGAACCATGATACTTGGCAAATCAATGTAACTCTGGACAAGCTGTAAAATGATATATGCTACATACTATGGGAATATTGGTGTATGTCTGCCTTGGGGGGCATACTTTCGGGACACCCTGTACATGGTGCAAGACCGATTTGAACCCATACTGATGAACTTCAAGAAATAGTATGTAACTATCTTATCCTGATGTGGCGAGTTTGGCTGAAACATATCATGCTATTCCTGCGTCATATTCGTCAAGTGAACGTCAGTTCAGTGCAGCTGGCAACACCATCACTTCCAAACAGGCACGACTTCAACCTGAGGTTGTCAATGCCTTGTTGTTCGTAAATGACTATTTCAAACATAATTCAGTTTCTGAATCTGACGTTGACACTACAACTACACCGGAACTGCCAAACATAACTACAACCAAATCTGAGCGGGAGCATGAAGCTATTACACCCGAACTGCCAAACATGGACATCACATCTGAACTGCCAAACATGGAAATCACACCTGAACTGCCAAACATGGACATCTAAATGTCTATGTAAATGTACGCATCGTGAAAGTGGAAATTAAACGAAATAATTAAAAAAACGACGTGTCTTTTATTTCCCCGGGGATTATCGTCGGTTAACCGTTTAATAACTTCAATACCAGTAAATACTCAATTCCGTATCGAAACCGTATAACCGGAATAACATACCTACTTGTATTTTTCCCATTTCCTTTGAAAATCTATTACAAAAAATACTCTTCGACTTACCAGAAAATTTTTACAAGCCCAAGAGCAAGATTTTGTGTCTCTGATAGGTTTTCTCGTGGTTGGCCAACCTGGGGTTTTAACCTGTAGATTAACTTGGCCAATAGCCTGGAGAAAACCTCACATATCTCCTGGTCAGAACTGTGCTTTGTGAACACATCTCTGGAACAAACAAGCAAACAGCAACTCCCTTGAGAAGCAAATCACATTGAACAAAACATATTTTATCAAATTCACATTCTATGATGGCATAACATGATAGAAACTAGACATTAAAATTGTGCAGAACTAGAAATAGGCAACTCCACAGAGTAGCAAATCCCAATGAACACTATATAATTCATGAATCAGTACAGTCCCGATGTAATATTTACCATCTACTCTTCCATTCAATATATACTTGAGATCATTGTAGTATCATGGAACCTAGTGGTGTCAATTAACTGCTTGAGCATTAACCGGTTAACCGGGGGTTTTTACCAGTTAAAGTCGGTTAACCGGCGGGAAATTTGAACTTATAATTTCAAATGAAATCTTCATCTTCGATCTTGAAAGTTGAAAAAAATGGAAAAATGATATATCGGCGTTTATTTTTTACGTTTGTCAAGCTTTACGCTATTCTATGTAAGTAAGCGCGGGAAAGCAATGTGGCAGGGATTAAAGTTGCTGATTGGATGTTTGTAAGGAATTATCGGACCTATCACGTGTATGAGTAGCTCACATGAAACTGACGCTTGAAAAACAAACAGATTAAAATGCAAAGAAAGCGCGGGAAAGCAATGTGGAAGGGATTAAAGTTGCTGATTGGATGTTTGTAAGGAGTTATGGGACTTATGACATGTATGACACAAATCAGACAAGGCATTAACACGACAAAATGTCACCACCAGGTTGCTCACAATATTATTAGTTTATTCATATAGTCTGAGCCAAAACTCCAGAAAATCACAAAAACCTATGTTGTGGTAGCTTACTATGAAGTGACCCATCATCATTATAGATTGATCCATCAACTATTCATTTTTACTTGTCTGCACTCAAAAAGGTGACACGAAAGGGCTAAACGGCTTGCCACAAGGTGCAACCATCAAAAAGATGAGTTTGATAAAAAATTATTTTTTTCAAATAATAGCAATGGGTATACAATATAGGAGGCAAATTTGATATTGATAAGTATGATAGTCCATTTGCGTGTGGCCATTTTTATAAAAAACAATAATTGTGAAGAATTATATATTTCTGACCTGAAAATGCCATCTTAATTCAAAAGTCATGGTTGTTAATGATAATAATCCTATTTCACCTATTCAATGTTTTCAAAATATTTTAATTACCATTATATTCATTTTTGGCAAAGTAAATAAAGATAGGGCTCACACAAGGATCAACTTTATTTGCAATCGTTTCATATTTAGTGATGTTTTGAAAAAATATAAGGTTACAAACACAATTTTATTTGTTAAATGTTTAACAAAATAAACATATTGTATTTATTTCATTGTTTCGACTTGAAAATCGCAATTCATTGCTCTTCCTCTTAGAATGGCAGGGGATATACAAGTACATAAACAGTCTTAAAAAACGTTGATCCTTGTGTAAGCCCTACACTTATTTACTTTGCCAGAAACTGATATAATGGTTATTCGGTGGTATGAAAATCATTTTAAAGGAAAAATAGGAAGAATGTCATTGAACTTGGAATAAAAAGCATTATATGGTTAGAAATACCCAATTTTTACCATAATTGTTTTTAATAATATAACCATACCCTAATCGACTATCTTTACATTTCAAAAACCAATGTGCATTCTATTTTGCATGTTTTACTACACTTATTTGAATTTGGGAAATACATCCGCTTACTGATCCAATTCAGAACTACTACGTATAGAGAAAGTAACTTTCGTGAAAAACTTCGTCAACGTGACCGTTGATTACTGATTGCAGTCATTATAATGACCTCATATTTGGATATCCTCTCTTCTGATATGATTTTATAATTTACTTCAAATTGGCAAAGGACCAGGTATAGTATGGCAAATGATATCTGACGGTCATATATTTTACCATGACTACTTTCTCAATATAAATATGACATTTCTCAACACAATATGTTATCTTTCAAGAAAATTCAATTTTCAATGATAATAAAAATATCATTCAAACAATCTAAAAAACTATGAATAGGGAACCCATCTCAACATTTTTTGAACTTATTTACTCAACAGAGGTTCTTCTTTTTTATTTGAATTGCATGAAAATATTATTCAACAAGAACACAAATGTGTACAAAATGTCCCCACCTATGGGTGATCCTGTCAAATGGTTATCCTAAAAATGAGTAGACAAGACTTTACCGACACAATTTGATGACGGAAAATCCAAAATGGCCACCTTAAAATTTACCTAGAATGCCAAAGAACTAATCAGATCTAGATTTTCATACTAAGAATCATCCCTGAAAATTTGAAATTGATCTACAAAACGGTTCACCTAAAAACGCGTAGACAAGACTTTACGGGCAGGATTTTAAGACGGAAAATCCAAAATGGCTGCCTTGACATTTATCCAGAATGCCAAAAAACTAATCGGATCTAGATTTTCATACTAAGAATCATCCCTGAAAATTTGAAATTGATCTACAAAACGGTTCACCTAAAAACGCGTAGACAAGACTTAACGGGCAGGATTTTAAGACAGAAAATCCAAAATGGCTGCCTTGACATTTATCCAGAATGCCAAAAAACTGATCAGATCTAGATTTTCATACTAAGAATCATCCCTGAAAATTTGAAATTGATCTACCAAATGGTTCACCGGAAAATGCGTAGACAAAACTCTAAAGACAAGATTTTAGGACGGAAAATCCAAAATGGCTGCCTTGACATTTACCCAGAATGCCCAAATACTAATCAGATCTAGATTTTCATTCTAAGAGTCATCCCTGAAAATTTGAAATTGATCTACAGAACTGTTCACCTGGAAATCCGTAGACAAGACTTTACAGACAATATTTTATGACGGAAAATCCAAAATGGCTGCCTTGACAATTACCCAGAATGCCAAAAAACTAATCAGTTGTACATTTTCATATTAAGGATCATCCCTGAAAATTTGAGATTGATCTACCAAACGGTTCACCTGAAAACGCGTAGACAAGACTTTACAGACAAGATTTTAGGACGGAAAATCCAAAATGGCTGCCTTGACATTTACCCAGAATGCCAAAAAACTAATCAGATCTAGATTTTTATACTAAGAATCATCCCTGAAAATTTAGAATTGATCCACCAAACGGTTCACCTGAAAACACGTAGACAAGACTCCACAGACAAGATTTTAGGACGGAAAAATCCAAAATGGCCGACAATAAAAAAGTGATCATGAGTTTTTGCTGATTTCTTTTTACAAAATTATCACATATAACTACTGTTAACAATAACATAGGCTTTAACAACAAAGTACATCTGAAATTATTTATAAAGCTACTAAATAGTTAGAATATGAAAACTCAAAAACACCATTCAATATGATACAAAGTATTATCGTGCGCTAACTTTTCTTAAGACATTCAAAATGGCTGACATGACTGAGCTAACAGGTCCAAAACCTAATCAGATCTAGAATGAAGTGAGCTGAACAAGATGTTAAAGTTTTAAAAGCAACTGTGAAGCCGTTTTTCTTAAAGTTTGCAGACAAGAATTTTAGCATTTGACTTCAAAATGGCCGACAGGAAGTTGGTATCGAGTTAAATTTTTTTCATCCACATCTGTATGCACTCATAAGTTATCCCTGAAAATTTGAAGGTAATATCTGTAGCGGTTTTGGAGAAAACTCCCGGACGTACGGACGGACAGACGGACGGACGGACGGACGGACAGACGGACAGACGGACGGACGGACGCGCCTAGGCCGACAATATGGCCCCACACTATGTGGTGGGGACATAACAAGTGGATTAAAACCTTTTCATTAGTAGAATTGTAATGAAAGTCTAGTTTAGGAGATATCAATTTTCAATGACCAAAATTATGCTGAAAACAATGGATAGTTTGAGTTTTTCCTATGGAAAATAACATGGAATTTGTTGTTTTTAATTAAGTTTATCGCATTTCAATACCTGTCCCCTTTTCAGAATTTGTTAATTCATTAGCGTAGAAGAACTTTTGATATATTCAAATTAAGAAAAAATACTTTAGAAAATAAGCCTAATATTTTTCAAAAAGTGACAAGGTGGGGATGTTATCAATAATATTTCAGATATATTTTCATATATTTATATTTCCAATTTTCAATTGTCAAGGAATCAAACCAGAATGAAATCATAAAAAATAAGTTTAAAAATAAAGGTTGAGAGGGATTCATGATGTGTTTTTTTCTTTTCAAGTGAAGAAGTTGGATGATATCATTTTTATGAAAATCATATTGTTTTCACAAAAACACGTTCAGCTCCAAAACGCCAAATACTAATTAGATATTGAGCTATGACCTTGAAATGATCTTGATCCATAAACACTGACATGGATCTCTGGTCACTTTATCATTGGTCATTAAATAGAACAGCCCCACAGAAGCCAAATACCTAGATATTGACCTTTGACCTTGAAATGACCTTGACATCAGGTCACCTAATCATTGGTCGTCAAAGGTCACAATTGTTCTCAATTGCCTTTAAACTCCAAATTGCTAGATATTGACCTTGGAAGTCACCCTATCATGAGTCGCTAGGGGCCACAGCAGATCCCGGGGCCTTAATACACCAAATACTCCCAAATACTTAGATACTGATCTTTGACCTTGCAATAACCTTGACCTCAGGTCACACATTCATGATACACAAGGGGTAACCTCAGCCCAAAAACGCCAAATACTTAGATATTGATGACCTTGAAATGATCTTGACATTGACAACAGGTCACCCAATCGGTTGTCAAAGGTCAGAATTATTCTCAATTGCCTTAAAACATCAAATTGCTAGATATTGACCTTGAAATTACCTACACCCATTCAGTTGATCTTTACCTCAGATCACATAATCATTGGTTGTGAAGGGTCACACCATCGGCAAAATGTCTTAAAATGCCAACTACCCTAGATATTGATATTTTAAACTTGAAATGACCCTGACTTTTGACCTATGTTGAATACACATTTTATGAACAAAACATACAAAGTTGAAAACTGTATTGCAAAAGTAATATTTAAATTGAATAAACCAAAAGAGATACTAGTAGACTTAAATTATCTAATTTTCCATCAGATTTAGTAAAATGATAACTCTCAATTAAATGTTGCAATGAATGCTCACACATATCTTGTTGTATATCAATCTAGTGCAACTGCTACAGGTATCACTCTGACACGTATCTGTGAACAAATCAAACTTCTTTGATGTTGATGTACGTAATGCAAATTGGTATCTTTTAATATGACGTCCGTAAGATAAACCATCAATACTCATCACTGTCACACCCATTACTACAAGATGATGTCTCTTAGATCACTGTCTGCAAGCTATAAACTAAAAAGAATCAACTTCACTAAAGGCTGCATCACTATAAATATAGAGGGTTGTCCTGGAAGTAATGCACTATATGCTCGTAATACCTTTTTATTCAAAATCAAAAGTCAATGATACTATTCCTATTTTACCTATTAAATGGTTTTTATATATCCGAATAACCATTATATAAGTTTTTGGCCAAGTAAATAATTGTAGGGCTCACACAAGGATCAACTTTTTGAAGACTTTTTCGTACTGGTGTAGACTCTCCTGCTTGCAAAGCAAGGGCGATGAATTGAGATTTTTCAGTCGAAACAAGAAAACAAACATAATTATTTTTTCTTCAACAAATAAAATATAGAATTGAGTTTACCTTCGTATTCTTTCAAAACATCACTTAAAATGAAAATGCTGTGAACAAAGTTGATCCTTGTGTGAGCCCTATAATTATTTACTTTGTTAAAAACTAATGAAATGGTTATTGGTATATTTAAAAGACATTGATTCTATAAAATAGGAATAATATCCTTGACAACAATAACTTTTTAATTGAAAACGCATTTTAAGGTCATTAATATCCAATTTTTTACCATAATTGTTTTTCATAAAATTACCACACCCGAATGGACTATCATTACACATCAATATCAAATTTGCATCCTATTTTGTATACTTACAAGTATTATTTAAAAAAATGTATATTTTTCAAACTCATCTTTTTGACGGTCGCACCTTGGTGCAAGCCGTTTAGCCCTTTCGTGTCACTATTTTGAATGCAGACAAGTAAAAATGAATAGATAATAGATCAATCTAAAATGACTATGGGTCAATTCATAGTAAGCTACCACAACATAGGTTTAGCCTAACTAAGCCACTTAGAAAGCAATTTGGCACACACTAATAAGTCAGATTTGAATTTCTGAAAACTTGTAGATGATTTTGAAAATAAAAATTGGTCAATTTGAAGCAAGTTGAAAAAAGACCTTTTTTAACCCTAAGAAGATCCATGAAGTTCAAATCTCAAATCTAAGTCAGATTTGAACTTCTGAGAACTTGTAGATGATTTTGAAAAAAAATTGGTCAATTTGAAGGCAAATTGAAAAAGGACCTTTTTGACCTTGAGAATGTCAATGAAGGTCAAATCTCAAATCTAAAGTCAGATTTGAACTCTGAGGCACAAATCAGACAAGGCATTTACATGACAAAATGTCAAAACCAGGTTGGTCACAATATCATTAGTTTATTCTTAAGTCAGATTTGAATTTCTGATAACTTGTAGATGATTTGAAAAGAAAAAAATTGGTCAATTTGAAGTTAGTTGAAAAAAGACCTTTTTGACCATTTTTTATATTGAAAAGTCAAAACTTAAATATAAAGTCAGATTTGAACTTCTGAAAACTTGTAGATGATTTTGAAAAAAATGACATCAGTCTAAACAGTATTTGTTAAGTTATTGGAAGTTTTAAAATGTTACAGACACCCACCGCCTATTACGAACCGCCGTCACAAAAAACGGAGACCATAACAATATGTCACAACATTTTGGTGGTGACATAAAAAACAATACCATAAAAATTCACAATTCAGTCAAACTGATTTCATATTTGGAATCTACAAGTAAAATTACATCTAGAAATGTGGTTTTGAGTTAATCAAATTTGAAAATTTAATTTTCTTTGAAAATCTGACTTCTAGGGACTTCTAGAGAAATATCTTTTCTTGTGTTTGGAAGATAATATTTTCTTTTACTGGACATATTTTAATTTGTATAACTATCACATACATAAGGGTAATATGAAAAGTGAACCACTAAAACTGATGAATATTCAGCTTTAAGGGAATTTTGTAATACCCTGCCATGTTATTTCCCCCGAATTAGCCACCTGGTGGCGAAACTGGTTACTACCTACTCGCATCTGAGTAATTGTGATCTACTCTAAAATTCCTTCAATTTGCTGATAATATAGCCATACTTCTAAGAGATCAGGAAATTATTCCGAAATCCCACATTAGGCAGCCATTTTGAATTTTGGAGGCCCAAATCAGAAAAACGATACACTATTTGCATTCTACTCTAAATTCCATTTCATTTGAGTATAATAAAGCTATATTTCAAAAACATTTCAAAATTACTCAAATTTCTGTTTTCCCAACCGCCCAATCATGGCCCCTGGGGGTCAGGGTGAAAAGCATGGAATATCTGAAATAGATAGATGTTGTGAAATTCTATCAAAATTTCAAATAATAATCCACTTTGGTTTAAAATGAAAAACAAGATTTTTGCAAAAAATTCCCGCCATTTCCAAAGCGGCGGCCATCTTGAAAAAGAATATTTACCAATATACATCTTTCCACAAAATATGAAGAAAATCCATCAACTAGTATTCAAGTTATCTTCGGGACCGGATGGATGGACTTCATTTGTTGCTGCCAAATCAGTGTCTTCATTCGGACGTACGGATGGATTGACGGAAGGCTTCACTATATCCCTACCAAACTTTGTCATTGGGATAATGATTTGGTACAATACGCTTGTAAGTCTACGCTGTATGAGCAAACTAGGTGCACAAGTGACTCCTTCTGCAGGTAAATCTTATATTTGTTGAATCCAAAACTGGATAACATGAATGCTAAATTGTAGAAAGTCCCATGGAGCAGCCATGGTGGCCAATTTTAAAAAATTTTCAACTACTTTTTCAGTTAAAGCAAAAATTGTTAAATAAAACACAAATAATGGCCACCATTTTCAAATGGTCGCTCACTAACCAATCTGTCATTAGAAAGTGTTATATGCTTCTAAGTGGGCACATATACAATGTCAACAAAATTGCACATACAATACACGTAAATGGCAGCCATTTTTCAAAATGGTCGCCTACAAGCCAAAGTAGACTGAGTGTACCATGATAATGAGTATTCACACATCAAATATGAACAAAATCACTTTATTACTTTTTAAGTGTGTCATAAAACAGTGTGCTTTGCTTTTGTAAAAGCCGCCATTTTTCAAGATAGCTGCCATGTGTTTCTTAAATATCTACAATTTTAGCTTCACTAATATCCATATACAAGTATAACCTTTTTACATTTAAAACATATTGCTATTATAGTTTTATATATTTTACCTAAATAACTATAAAATTGGTACTAAAATGACTGCCATTATTACAGGAGCTGCCATTTGGGAAATCAGCTTAGAGCAGAACTAATACCCCTAAAGGGAATATATGCACAAGATATGAACAAAATCGTCCCAATGGTATTTGAGTCATTGCCGGGACGGACACATAGACGAACCGAGAGAGGCATTCCCTACTGTATATCCCTCCAAACTTCATTCGATGGGATGGAATACATAATGTTCAACAATGATGGGAGATGTAAGGCATTATACATCCTTAGGAAAAAAATATGATACCTCCCTGAATGCTAATGAGCTAAAAAAAACTTTATGTCATTTTACAATGAAGGTCAAGGTCAAATCTTTGACCTATTTCACTCTTAGTACTGCTAATAATATGGTACAAATTTGCAATCAATTTGACCAATTTTAACTTTTGACCCATTTTTCCAATTGGGGCCAAACATTTTAAAGTCACGCAGTCCTAACTTTGACCATTTATTTGAATTTTTGACCTACCGGTTGTTTGAAAATCAAGGATTGCAAGTCTCATACTGCACCATTGTTCTTCAAACTTGTTCCATTCAAAGCATAACAAAAATGCCTCTCTGTTGGTACAGTATTCTGTTGGACAGAGTCCCTAATTCTAGCGGCATTTTGGTCCCCAGCTGTGAGGACTTCTAACAGTTGGGGACCAAAACGCTGCTAAAACAAGGGACTCTTTCCAATGAAGCAATGCACCGACAGAAAGACAATTTTGTTTTGCTTTGAATGGAACAAGTTTGAAGAAAAATGGTGCAGTATGATACTCGCAATCCTTGATTTTCAAAGATCCAGTAGGTCAATAATTCAAATGAACGGTCAAACTTAGAACAGCGTGGAAGGAGCAAATTGGACTAAACAAAACTGTCGACTGATATTTGATATAATGATTATAAGAAACCCATTGTCTACTCTTTAATGAACAAGGCCTTGCAACCAAATCATAAATTACGACGGCTCTGAAAATGGAACATTGTGTCCCTAAGCATCAGCATATAACATAAGAGCCAAATCCATCCACTGGTATTTGAGTTATCAAAGATTACCTATCAAAGATTACCTGAGTATTTGAGTAATCAAAAAATGGTGAACATTTTGAATTGAGCCGCCATATTGATAAGGAAGCAATATGACTGAGTAGTTTAAGATATTCGATTACATATAATATACAATTTTATATATTAATTCTCTGCTTTATCTTCATGAATAACACTTTACAAATTTTGTGAAACTGAATTGATCTATTTTTGGTAGGATCATCTTTTCCTACTCGATTCCTCTCGATTTTGGCTAATCACATTTCGCCTAGGAAGTTAGATACTCACTTGAGAGATCCTATAATAAATCCAAGATCCTCTTCGTTCAGATACTGACTTGGATTACTAAAGGTATTTGCAAGCTGCTGCAGCTGAAACAAATGGTCATACACATATGGAAATAAACAATTGCTTTTTAAATCTGTATTGAAGGTTATAAATTTGAATTTTCCAAAGAATTCTGTATGTTTAGATGCTGTATTAGTATTGCATAATCACTTGAAAAGATGAACAAGTGCATTTGGAATGCCAAATACACACGTTTCAAGATTTTTAAAATTGAATTTTAAATTGCTATATTTTCAGCCTTTCTGTGTAACATGGTCACTTTAAACAGCTGCATCTAAGTTGGTAAGCATTATATTCCATTCAGTATGAGTTACTGAATGAACAAACTCCCTCTGTTGGAAAAATACCAAAAACATCCCTATATATATGCAAGCGATATATTGTACATGTATTCCAAGGATTGTATTATTACTTTCTAGAGTCCTAGAAATTCTTGCTCCCCAAGAATAGCACTTTCTTTAAAAATAGATTTGTTAATGGAACTCTGTTTTGAAGAGACATCATAAAGAGAGTACAATACAGTACCAATTGTAAATCAAATGACTTGGTGCAGTCCCAAGTCTCTCCAGGATCAAGTAGTTCAAGTAGTTTTTCTCTTATTGCTGAACACTCCAGAGGATAATCAATGGAAGTAGGCTCACTAGAGAGGGTCCTATCGTAAGAACACCAGGCAGCAAGAATGTCCACACATTGTAATTTAATTCCCTGTAGTTCTGAAAGAAGGTCTGTGTCTAGTAGACATTGGACACCTGAAAGAACAGAGATAACTGTGATCATTATGGTACCATTATAACTATGATATTAGGCGTAATACAAGAACACAAATGTGAATAACAAGTCCCCACCAATGGGTGATCCCGTCAAATGGTTATCCTGAAAATGAGTAGACAAAACTTAGCGAACACAATTTTAGGACGGAAATCCAAAAAAGCCACCTGAAAATTTACCCAGAGTGCCAAAACATTAGTCAGTTCTAGATTTTCATACTAAGAACCACCCCTGAAAATTTGAAATTGATCTGTCAAACAGTTAACCTGAAAACGCATAATAAGAGTTTATAGACAAGATTTTAGGACGGAAAATCCAAAATGGCTGCCTTTAGTTGACATCTATCCAGAATGCCAAAAAACTAATCATATTTAGATTTTCATACTAAGAATCATCCCTGAAAATTTGAAATTGATCTACCAAACGGTTCACCTGGAAACGCGTAGACAAGACTTAACAGACAAGGTTTTGGGGCGGAAAATCCAAAATGGCTGCCTTGACATTTATCCAGAATGCCAAAAAACTTATCAGATCTAGATTTTCATACTAAGAATCATACCTGAAAATTTGAAATTGATCTATCAAACGGTTCACCTGAAAACGCGTAGACAAGACTTAACAGACAAGATTTTAGGACAGAAAAATCCAACATAGTCACCTTAAAATTTACCCAGAATGCCAAAAAATTAGTCACTTCTAGATTTTCATACTAAGAACCATCCCTGAAAATTTGAAATTGATCGGTCAAACAGTTAACCAGAAAATGGGTAAACAAGACTTTACAGACAAGACATTTATCCAGAATGCCAAAAAACTAATCAGATCTAGATTTTCACACTAAGAATCATCCCTGAAAATTTGAAATTGATCTACCAAACGGTGCACCTGACAACGCGTAGACAAGACTTAACAGACAAGATTTTAGGACAGAAAAATCCAAATTGGTCACCTTAAAATTTACCCAGAATACCAAAAAATTAGCCACTTCTAGATTTTCATACTAAGAACCATCCCTGAAAATTTGAAATTGATCAGTTAAACAGTTAACCAGAAAATGCGTAAACAAGACTTTACAGACAAGGTTTTAGGGTGGAAAATCCAAGAATGCCAAAAAACTAATAAGTACTAGATTTTCATACTTAAAGAATCATCCCTGAAAATTTGAAATTCATCTACCAAACGGTTCAGCTAAAAACGCGTAGACCTAAAATATTTTTCACATGCTGTCCGACAGTCAAAAAATCAAATTTTAGAGAAAGTTCAAATCTCTCAATAAAATCATTTGGTCTACTTACTCATATTTACATGACTTATTTTTTGAAGTCAAATGTGTGCATATTCGCCTAGTCAGTAGGCAGATTCTCGAAATTGGATCCAAATACAGTAAGAAACTCGGCCATTTTCTTGAGAAAAGTTTCTTCTCACCCTCTGTTCAAGTGACGTCAGAGTTCCAAGAATCTTCCAGAATTCCATGAATTCCATGAATGAACTATAGTTTATTTTTTGAAGGGGTGATAGATATCCAAAATTATGAATAAACAGATTCAAATGTGATAATCCAGTTTACAAACTAATCTAAATATATGTAATTTCACAAAATGTAATAAATGTTATTGACAATCTCAAGTATGATCGTCAAGTTTACAAAATATAATGACTTGTCATGTCATGAGATTTTTTGAATCATCCACCATTTTGAAATTTAGAGGATTAATCAGAAGAAAATGTAATTGGACACGATTCTGCTCAGCTCTCTGACGAAAGGAAGGAGGTGTTGATAACTCATAGACCAAATTTATTATATATGGCTGAAAAACTCAGGAATTCAGGTGAATGAGAAAATAAATGGATTTTTCGACCGTCGGACAGCATGTGAAAAATATTATAGACAAGACTTAATAGACACGATTTTAGAAATGAAAAAATCCAAAATGGCTGCCTGGGCATTTACCCAGAATGCCAAAAAACTAATCAGCTCAAGATTCTAATACTAAGAATCATCCCTGAAAATTTGAAATTGATCTACCAAATGGATCACCTGAAAACATGTAGACCTAGACAAGACTTAATAGACAAGATTTTAGAATGGAAAGCCAAAATAGCCACCTTAAAATTTACCCAGAATGCCAAAAAATTAGTCAGTTCTAGATTTTCATACTAAGAACCACCCCTGAAAATTCAATATTGATTCGTCAAACAGTAAACCAGAAAACGCATAAACAAGACTTTACAGACAAGATTCTAGGATGAAAGATCCAAAATGGCTGCCTTGACATTTATCCAGAATGCCAAAAAACTATTCAGATGTAGATTTTCATTCTAAGAATCATCCCTGAAAATTTGAAATTGATGGTACACCTTAAAACGCATAAACAAGACTTTACATGCAAGATTTTAACACAGATTTTCCAAAATAGCTACCTTTTACTTCTCCCAATGTGATAGTTAAATATTATTAATGGTATCCACAAGTATGTGTTTCTTTTCCTCTACAACAAACACTGACCCTTTCTAGGTACGCTTACATGTATCTTCTCAATGAACTGAAAGTAAAGGAGAAATGCCTGAAATAAAAGCAAAGGCTTAAACATAAATCTTACCAGAGCTTTGTGGTGTCTCTTCATCCTGTGAGGCTTTATCTGCACTATTGAGACTCTCAAACTCATTAACCTCATCTACCCCTGTCTCCATCATGTCTTCATCAGAGTCCAGACTGAGATCTGTATTTCTTGATATGCCCCTCCTTGGCACCTCCTCTCTACCTTGAGTCTTGTTTGCACTCTGCATAAAATGAAAATACAATATATACTCTAAGTGGTGTCTCATTTTGTGAAAATGCCATTAGACAAGCTCACATGAACACATATGTACTTGAACTAGAATAACAGTGACTCTAAAAAGTAGGAAATTCCACTGAACAAAATATATTTTAGCACAAAAATAGACAGGCAGCTGTCCGGGGGTTCACTGTATACAAAATTTGGTGGGAGTCCTAGGCAGAACCCTCAGATATCAATATGTTCCCATACCAATCTGTCAAATTTCAATGGATTCCCATACAAACCAATAATGCCCAAAACCAAATGACCAAATATAAGACCAATGCCATACCAAATGTCCAAATATAGGACCAATACCACACCAAATATCCAGATATATGACCAAGCTTATTAATGGGATGCCCTGGGCAGATCTTTGAGGAAAATGATCTAAAACGACCTCAAATAAAGGACATGTGTAACAACTAGACCAATGCCATACCATAAGTGAGAGGTAACATATTTTCCATGACCATTCTCATACCAGAAAGTGGAAAAATCCGACCATTGCCAAAACTCAAAAGTCATGATTTGGGAGGCATTCTCATACCAGATCCTAAAACTTGGGTCCATTGCCATACCAAATGTAAAAAAAAGGTACCCCATGTGAGCCGAGGATCCCAGTCAAGATTAATATACAGTGAACCCCCGGGGGCAGCTGTGTTGTCTCCTTTTGTAAACTAGATTAGAAAAACAGTAACTCTATACAAAGTACCAAATTACACCACACAAAACTTATTTTGATAAATAATGTCAATCTTGAAAATTTCTTCTAAAAACAGAGCTCCTTTGTACCCAAGGTATCAGCATGTAAACTTTGAATCAAAACCATCCACTGGTATTTGAGTTATCGAAGATTTTTTTTATGAAAAACAGTGGCCATTTTAAAATTCAGCTGCAATTTCTTCTAAGTAAAACTGAGCTCCTTTGTCCCTAGGTAGCAGCATATAAAACAAGCAAATCCGTCACCTGGTATTTGGGTTATCAAAGATTACATGTTTTAACAACAAATCTTGCCCATTTTGCTAAATAGTGGCCATCTTGAACATTTTTTCTTATGCAGAGCTGCCTTATCTCTAAGCATCAGCATTTAAAATTTGAACCAAATCCATCTACATATTTGATTTATCAAAGATACGAAAAATGGTGGCCATTTTGAAATTCAGTCATCATCTACAAAATTCCTTCGAGCAGAGCTTGTTTGTCCCTTGGGATGTAGATCAAAAATAGTTCCCATTTGGGCATCTTGAAAATCTCGTGAGCAATACCGTTGTTCCCTAGACATCTGCATATAAAATTATTACTAAATCCATCCACTGATATTTGGGTTATCAACGATTTTTTCAAAAAATGGTGGCCATTTTGAAATTCTGTGGCCATCTTGAAAACATCTTTTTGAGCAAAGCACATTTGCCTCTAGGCATCAGCATATAAAAGGATCCGTACCCATTAGTGTATCTATAAGAAAATTATTGAAAAGGGTAAAATGGAATTCCAGAATTATTTTTATGCAAATTGAATCTTGAATAAGTATATTTTCAACAAATCACAAAATAGTGTGGAAAATATGGTAAAAAGGTGTTTTTAACACTGATTCTTAACCCACGTCATGTTGACTCTTTGAGTGAGTAATTTTGACATATCTTCACAAAAGCTTGATCAAAATCTTGAGTTTTGTAGATAGACTTAATTTCACGTGTTGCCCTTTTTGTCCCACCTTAATGATGTAATGCATTCAACCTTTGGGTTGAATGTGTTTTCAATATGTTGCCCTTTGTGTCCTACCTTAACGATATTCTGATATATCAATTGATGAAGACTTACATACCCCTAAAATGATATTTAGAACGATGCATATAGTCAAATTTAAATGCACTGAATGACCTTAGTTTTAATCCATATGACCTAATTTCATTTTTGATGTGTCCATAATTGTTAAAAGTAACTATTTCCATATAATTTTCAATGAACCAAACCCATCAACTAGTATTACAAAAAATGGTTGTCATTTTTAATTGAACGGCAATATTGAAAATTTCATTCTCAAACAGAGGCAAGCCAATAAGATTTGTATCAAATCCTAATTGATTAGTATTTGAGTTATCACCCAGACACACAAATGGACGTATCAACAGAAGGATGGACAACTTCTCTATATCCCCTAAAACTTCAGTTGGTGGGATAACAGAATTACAAAAAATGGTTGTCATTTTTAATTGAGCGGCCATATTGAAAATTCCATTTTCAAACAGAGGTAAGCCAATAAGATTTGTATCAAATCCTAATTGATTAGTATTTGAGTTATCACCCAGACACACAAATGGACGAATGAACAGATGGATGGACAACTTCTCTATACATGTATATTCAACTTGAATATCGTAATTTATTTATCATTAACTATCATTTCTTGTACTTGAAAAAACACTCACCATACCTTAAAACTATTAAAACCATGCCTGTTTCAACATTTTCTGCCAAAACTATTTGTCATTTTAAAAACTGTTTCTCTATTGATTAGCTTCAATGTGATTGCAATTTGTTTGGAAATCTTTCATTCGTAAGTGGTTATTTGCTTGCAAATTGACTTTAATGTAATGTAATGTTTGAGATAGATGTCGCATCATACATATTGCTAGTTTTTGAAATAGCCGTCAGAGGCGGGGCATAGTGAACAAAATTTTTGGTTGGTGACACACGTAGATAATTTTTAGCAATTTTTTAAAGATTTTAAATTCAATGTCTGAAACGGAACAAGGGGCAGTAGCCCGGAAATGTAGCAAATGTAATAACCCTATTAGGGTACATGAAGGACCATACGGGCCGAAATGTAACGTTCTCAAAGCGGAATATTCTGAATATGATGATGACGTGGCGTCTGTGGATAACAAAATGGATGACGAAGCGCCACGCCCAGAATCCTGGATGGGAGCTACATGTATCATGCAGTTAAGCACGCAAATATCGTCATTGGCTTTAACAACAGCATCTTTACAAAAAGGTCAGGAAGATCTTACAAGAGCCATCTCAAAAATTGAGGCCACGTTCAATTCTAGCGACATTCATCGACCAAAACCAACACAATCGTCAAATCAATCTACACCCGCTGAAAGTTTACAAACCCAAGCTTCATACAATGGTAGTCCAGTTGGCGTATCTCAAAAGGTTGTGAAAAATATTATATCTGGTGAGTACACCAACATGGTTGATTTATTACCCGTGAACTTATACAATCAGTCGATAGATATTATACAAAACGGCAACCAAATACTGTGTTCAGACAACGGAGAACTGAAAATTCGTAAAAAACAAACAATCATATATCAATTAGTTCATGGCATGGCTTTCTGCTTGGAATGTTTATGAACAGATAGTTATGGAACATTCTCCGGGGGATTATACAGACCTTAGGAACTACAGATCTCACATCCAAGACTGTGATAAAAAATTCGTGTGGTCAGCTGTATACACTTACGACGTGAAATTTCGAATGAAATTGGGATCCACTAAATCCCATAAATTTGAATGTATTGATACGTTTCTGTATACAACCAATCTTGATGCATCTGCAGTTAAACATACTAACAGATCGTCGTGCTACAGATGTAAGGGAGATCTCCTTGTAGCCGATTGTACATTTCCCGAGACCAACAAGATGGAAGCGAATCAGACTTCGGAGAAAGCTGCGGGCAAATCGGGAGAAATCTGTCATAAGTTCCAAAACGGTGAATGTAACTTTGGAGCACGCTGTTTCCGAAAGCATGTATGCAAAAACTGCAAAATTACGCAGTTGCCATTCCCCAAATGTGACTGTGGAAAGTCAAATGGAAATAAATCCATATAATCCCCTAAACCTTAACTGCCTAAAGTTATCTTTAAAATCACACCCAGATCAGGAACTAGTTCAACGGATCTTACACGACACCGAATTTGGAGTTAATTTAGGTTACTATGGGCCCAGGGCACCAAGGATTCATCCAAATTGGAAATCTACTAAAGTACACGGTGAAGCCGTGGAGGCCAGTATATTAAAGGATGTGCGTGACGATGCGTGATGATGTGTGTGTGACGTAAATCTGGTCCTTTTATTTCGAAACCTCTCGCAAACTTCGTCGGATCACCGATGGGCGCCTATATCAAGAAGCGCTCGGAACCTGTTAAGTACAGAATAATTCACGATTTATCTTGGCCACCGGGCGAATCCATTAACGAATACATATCCAAAGATGAATACTCGTGTTCATACATTTCAGTAGACGACGCCATATCATTAGTTAAACGTAATGGACGTAATAGTTTGATGACGAAAATCGACCTTCAAGATGCGTTTAAACATATACCTGTGAGAAAGGAAGATTGGGAATTGTTAGGAACAACATGGGACATGTTAAATGATGACACCGACAAACAAATAACCGTTTATTTCGTAGATACGGTGATCCCATTCGGATCTCGAAGTTCGCCAAAAATCTTTTCTGACTAAGCGGATATTCTGCAGTTTATCATGTTGCGCAATGGAGCTTCAAATTGTATTCACTATCTTGACGATTACTTCACGTGCGGTCCTGCTGAAACAAATATTTGTCTTGATAATATGAACGTAATGCTAAGTACGTGTGATAAAGTAGGGTTCAAATGCAATGCTAAGAAAACCATCCGACCCACTACATGTTTAGAGTTCTTAGGGATGGAAATAGATTCGGCAGATATGGAAATACGTATATCCGAAGAACGACTTCACGATATTTTCACGGAGTTAAAAAGATGGAGGAATAGGTCTAGTGCATCTAAAAGAGAGGTCTTATCCCTCGTGGGAAAGCTTAACTTCATATGTCGGGTAGTTCAATCGGGGAGAACCTTCTTGCGGCGCATGATAGACTTGTCATGCTCTGTAAAATATCTGCACTACAGAATCAAACTGAATTCATGTTTCAGATCAGACATCGAATGGTGGTTACAGTATTTGCCAACTTGGAATGGAAAATCACAATCTACGAGGACCATTGGTCCGCGAGAGAGAAACTGGAATTGTTTACAGATGCTTCCAATACAAAATATGGCGCATATTACAATGGACAGTGGATCAAGGGGAACTTCAGCCAGTCGGAGATGCAACGAGCGATAGCATGGAAAGAACTCTACGCGATCGTTGTTGCAATCGCAACGTGGGGCGCACAATTAACTCAAAAACGAATAACGCTGCGTTGCGATAACATGGCTATAGTGCACGTAATCAATAAGGGGACGAGCAGAGACAAACATATAATGGCCCTCGTGCGAGCACTATTTTTCTATTGCGCAATTAACCAATGCGAGTGTAGATGCGAACATGTTCCAGGTTGTTCCAATTCAATTTCCGATTCACTTAGTCGGAACCAAATGGACAGGTTTTACAGTTTAGTGAATCCATCAGCAGCTGTTCAGTGTGAGCCTGCCACATTGCGGCTATTTTATTAAGAGCATTTGTATTAATCATTAGAACTGTAAATGAAAGTGATGAAGCCTACCGTGGATATAATTGTATATATGTTTCATTGATTCATTGAAGTTATTTGTATTTTTTAAAATGTGATTTACGAGGTAACCTTACAAGTAGAAGTGATGATAATAATTAAACAGTATATATGCCGCAACTATGTATTTATTGAAAACCATCAATCTATTATCATAATGTGTACATATTTTCTTTATTTTAATAGGTTCTTTGGAAGAATTGACCATTAAGTCAGAAATACTGGTTAGGAAGGGTTTACGTCCAAACACAGTTAAGACATACTCGTCAAGCCAAAAAGCGTTTATGGAATTTTGCAATAAGTTTGGTTTAAATTACCTCCCAACTGAAGATGAAACACTACTACTTTTTGTTACGTTTTGCTACGAAAAAGGTTTACGACATGGTACAATTCTTAACTACTTATACGCTGTGCGTTCCCTTCACATAGAACATGGTTTTGACCTGAACATTAATCACTCTTTTAGAATCAAACGTGCATTAAAGGCAGTATTGATGGAACAGGATAATACCAATCAAAAATCAGCTATAACAGCAGATATTTTATGTAAAGTGGTACAAGCTCACAATTTTGTCAACGTGGATCAATTAATGTTCTGCTCAGCCATGTCGATAGCATTCTTCGGTTTACTTCGTTGCTCAGAACTTCTGAATCTCAAAAACAGTGATGTTACAATAATAAAGGCAGAAGCCAAAGTTGACAAACATATGATAGTTAAACTGAGTATCTCAAAAACTGATTCAATAGGTAAAGGTTCAGATGTAGTGATAGGATGTACACAAAAACAGCTTTGCGCAGTTTGTTTGACAGAAAAATACTTAGAACATAGAAGTGATAAAAATGAATCTTTGTTTGTGCTCACTAATGGGTGTTCATTAAACAGATCTTGTTTCATAGATCACGTGAAAATATCCATGGCTATGTTAGGGTATGACTCGAGTAAGTACTCGGGCCATTCGTTTAGAATTGGCGGAGCAACTTCAGGTGGCAACGTTGGTCTGAAAGACTGGGAGATAAAACCCATGGGGAGGTGGTCTAGCCAATGTTATCAACGTTATGTGCGTACATCAGTCGACTACTTGAGCAAGTTATCAGCTAAATTAACTGAATGTTGATATTAAAGGGTATAATATTATTGAGATGTGATAGTAAGTAAGTAAGTAATTGTTGGGCGATCTTTGGGCGGTTTTTATAAAAGTGTTTATGTTCTTGTATATAATAAAGCATCCGCTTATTTTAAGCCCAACACATTTCTTACTGTTTCAATATTTGTTATTATTTTGATATGCAATAACATTAATGGTTATTTGCTGGCAAATTGACTTTAATGTAATGTAATGTTTGAGATAGATGTCGCATTATACATATTGCTAGTTTTTGAAATAGCCGTCAGAGGCGGGGCATAGTGAACAAAATTTTTCCACGCCCACCCACCCTGTACATGTACTTCATTAATTCATTCGACATATATTGTACAAACGTTTAAAAGGCGGTTTTTATAAAAGTGTTTATGTTCTTGTTATTTTACGTTTACATAGTATAATAAAGCATCCGCTCATTTTAAGCCCAACACATTTCTTACTGTTTCAATATTTGTTATTATTTTGATATGCAATAACATTAATACATTTCGCAGACTTTCAGTGAGGAAACTTGTGACCATGTGTGGTTACATTATTAACATACATGTATTAATATAAACAAAGAAAAAAATGGCTGATGGTCAATACATGAGAGTACGGATTTTCTGGTTTAATAATGGCACTTGAAATAAAGAATGGGCTGGGTTTGGCAAATGCATGACAAATACGCAAATTGTGGGACAGTTGGACTGCCTGTGGTTTGCTTCTACTTACAGCAAGGTGAACTGTGGAGATGAGCTGATCTAGAAGTCTATGAGGCGTGAGGCTGCGACAGAGTTCCATTACAGCAGCAAGTCTACCAGTGCATGAACCAGTCAGAGCATTCTCTCCCCCTCTCCCTGCCAGCTCAGTTGTTCTAGGGTCCACTATTCTCCAGTCATACATGAGACGTATTATGGGAAGTGTTGTCTTCAATGTGCTTACTGCATCACTACAGTCTACTTCCTCGCAGAGTAGCTTACTGGCTTTCTTCAAGAGACCCTAGAATCAAAGTATCATCTTTACACAGTACAAAACACATATAATGCAACTCATTTGTCACATACCGAATCATGATGTACATGATCAAAAAATTCTGAGTCCTACAGATTTCTGTATGTTGACAAAATCAACTGATGTGAAGTCAAAACTATGATGAGGCTTTTAGATGTAGGACACAAGCATGTACAACATTTTGTATTTAAAAATGCCCTAACACGCTTCAAATTCAATCTCATTTTCAAATTTTCTTGGGGTAAACTAACCCGAAACCCCCTCAAAAATTCGCTCGCTAGTGGCATATGCTCAAAAAGTACCCACGCTACGCCACTGCCATTGATTTGATTTGATTTAAGTCAAACGTACGAGAAAAATATAATATGGTAGCTATAACCATATATATACTTTCCATATTTAGCAAAACAGGGAAAAATGTTTTAATATAGTCAATATTGATCACTTGAAAATTTAGTGCTGAATTCCAGTAGGCTGCCATCTTTTAGTATTTCACTCAGGAAGTGATGTCATCGACTCTCAACTTTGCATATAACATTATAAGGAGCTATTAAGAATTACAAAAACCAGCTGTGCATTCTTTTTCAATTTTGTCTATGATTTAATCCTTCTATAAGTCTCTTCTATTATTCTAAGCTGACAAACTCTGAAAATAATTGTGGAACAGTGAAGACCTTGTTGACGAGGCCGAGAAAAGATGGTGATATGCAGTTCAGTACCCAATAGTTCAAGTATGCACTCACCTTCACATAGTAGAAGAGCTCAGTTGCCATAGTTTCTTCACATGTGTGTGTACCCTCTAGGATTAACAGACCACATAGCTTTACACAGAGTGTGCAATGTTGCAGCAAGGCTTTAATGTGGGTCAAGTCTCTACCTTGGTGTGTGTGCAGTACCTGATTAATCAGTCAAATATATATATCAAGCAATGTTATATGCCAGACTTGTTTCTAATGGTCTTAAATGAAACACTTAGTGTCACACCAGTTAGTGGTCTTGTGTTCCTGGGGGATGCAAAGCTGAGTATTAATTTTACACAAAGTTGTATCAATTGGAATCCTCTGGCCAAGGTTGCATGGTTGCATTTGCAAACTTGTATTGGCTTCAAAATGAATGTGCTGAAAGAATGGGTATGGTAACATCAGCAATAGCAGCATGATACTGTTGAAGGGAAAATACAGACACTTACATGTACATGTAGCTACTGACAAAGGACATTTACCTTGCTGTGTTTTACTAGGACTTCTTGAACCCTTTGGTATACCTTTCCCAGAATGCCATTAGCCTTGACTGATATCGGAGGCTCCTTTGTCTTGTTACCTGCACAGACAATATAGATGAGCAAGGTCTTCAAGAAACACTATCAATCAAATTGAAAGTATCAATGAAATAACTCTTTTGAAAAAATCGATCAAATTCTTAGCATTCTTTGAAATACAGGGTGTCCGGAAAGTAAAGATACAAATGCTCTAATTTCATTAGATTTACCTGTTGTGAGATGAAATTGCTACAGATTGTAGAATGACATTGTAACAATTCATCCTGCAACTGTCATGACAAATTGTTTCAAAATAAAAAAGTTATGGTTGTTATGGTAACAAGAGTCGCAGGTATGTGGAGCAGCGTCACAATTATGTTTTATAATTCTTTTCTCCTGTTCATATCATCTTGACGCTCCGTCGTCTGTTGCTATTATACATCAAATTATGTACCACAACAGCAAAGGGATTAGTACTGTAACATTATTTAATCATTTGACATTACTACTGTTATCCAGTATTATGTATTTTCCACCTTTATCTAAACATTCTTAGTGCATTTTGACCGGAGATTCAAAGACCTGACAATACCTTTGTTGTCAGTCTCGAAGATTGCTGATAACATTAGCTTCCAGCCGAGTCTCATTTTTATGTTGAACTTCTCACAAATATTGCTTTAACATATTCATTAATGTAGAAGTCCAACGGGACATTATCAGGGAAATATGGGCCATTGTACAAAAAGGTTAATGTCAAGACATTCAATTGTAAGATTTGTTTTCTTTGGTTTGTGCATTGGAGCATTGACTGTGGAGGGGCACTATTGACTTTCCTATTAATCCAGGGACCCTTTTCTAAGCACTTATATACCCTTTTTCTTTGATTACACTTGTGACATTACATAGTTCTGATATGTATCAATGATATCGTTATACTAAAGAGAATACTATGGCAGCAAGAATGCAATATTGAACAAAACAAAAAACTGATAAGAAATACAATAATAAACACTATTTCAAATGGTTATATTTTAGCAATTTATCACAATTTAGCGATATCCTGGAACTGCTCCGCATACCCCTCACCACCGTAACCATGACAACCGTAACTTTAACACATTTAGACTATATGTTATAAAAGTTGGTAGATGTATTGTAATGTAGTTCCTCTACAATCTGTAGCGATTTCATTACAAAAAAACTAAATCTCTTAAAATTAGAGTATTTGTATCTTTACTTTCCGGACACCCTGTAAAACAATATAAAGGATTGAATTTCTTACTGCTGGACATAGGAGTGTTAAACATGGCCCTTGAGTATGCAATGGTGATGTTTAGGTAACTATCCTGGCAGTGTTTAGGGTTGGTAACAAAGAGATGACTGGGAGGATTCTGCAATATGAGTGACGCAATGGCATTGGCAGTCAGCCCTATAGTTTGTGGATCCATGCAAGTAATAACTCCTCCTCCTTCTTGATATTCCTCTCTTTTGGGAAGTAACCAATCAACAAGCTGGCACCTCAATGGATAGCTCCCTCTAGTGGGCGTTGTCATGGCACTAAACATATTACATGGTTGGTTATTTTCAGGAAGAGAGTGGTGTTGAATGATATTGATGAGTACTATTTTCGCAGTAGGGTAGTCTAATAAGGAAGCTGATGAGAAGAGGGCCCAGATGTCTTTGCCTATGGTGACAAGGTTCTCTAACAACATAGCATCAAGTAATTGGAAACCAGCTTCTGCATTGTGTTGTAGACTCACAGACCTGCAATAAAGAATATTATACCTATCAAGTAAGTAAAAAATAAAAATCAGGATATTTTTTCTAAAAAGCAAGAAAATGGGGGTTGTTTGAAAAAGAAATCATGGGTTGTTTGAAAAATTGTACAGGTAGTTCTTTTTCTGGAAAATCAGGGGAAATCAGGTTTGCATAAACTGGATGATTAACCATTTTTATATAATTTTTGATCTTGGATGACAATTTCAAACATTAAGGCTATCATAAATGTTTATCTTTCATTATATACTGGTGGTATGATAAAAATGCAAAACATTGACAATCACACATTCACTTTACCTTATAGTTGAAGTCCATACTATTTGCCAATATGCATGGCACATTTCTACTGTGAGCTGTGACCTCTCTTGGCTTTTGCTAACTTGGCATAGGGCCTTTAGAGCCCTCATTACCCACAGGGAAACATCAGTCCTACAAGGTAAGTCTTTACATTTTAATGTCATGTTTTGTGAATTAATTGGTTTTGTATTGCTTTTTAGCTGTATGTTAGCTTTTATTTGATTACCAAGTGTTACTCCTATTTGTTTTGTGAAGAAGTATTTATTTATTCATTTATTTATTTATTATTTATTTATTTAAAGGATGTACTATCAATGACTTAGAAAACAATGAAAATGACTTTTTTAAAGAATATCATCAATTAGATTCATTTTCATCGATTAAATGCAATAAATACCATTTCACTATCTAATCAAAAATGAAAGAGCTCTATTAACAAAAGTGAAAGTATTTGGCTGTTGTTAGGAACTCCCCAAAACAAATGTCACAATGAATGTCTTCATACCATCCAAATCCAATGCATACTGATGGATATAGTCCTGAGTAAGGACATTAGTGGTTACCGTTAGTGATTTGGTTTTCTGAGAAAAAGTCATTTTCTCCTTCCCTACCCCATTGGAGCGCCATCTGGCGTTTGGGATGTGAATCGGGACTAAATATTTATAAGGTAGGTCCTAATTTATCTGAAAACATGTCAGAGTTCAGTGGGAAATCTCATTTTAAGCTGGCGGCGGAGTGATTTTGACCTTGGTGATTTTACCAGAATTCTCTGAGAAATCTGACGATAGAGGGGGTTAGTGTCTTCAAGGTTATTTATTTCAAAATTTCGGTGGACAACCCATGGTAAGACTGTTATAGCAGGCTAGGCGAGTCTCTCCCGAACACTGTGGTATGTTGCACTAGGCTTGGATACTAATCGTTAAAGAGATACAGGGTAAAATGTTATAATGGCCCCCGGGGTGATTAAATGTCTGTATGTTTGTATGATTTAACGTACAAAGTGTATTATATTATGTATGAATAAGTATCAGAATAATAAATGATATTTATATTATTCAAAATATTTTATTGCAAAATTTTATAAATGTTACTTCTTTGAATTAACATTCTTTAAACTGATATATGTTATCAAGATTACGTTTTTACGAAAAATCATGGCTATGTTGAATTGAGTGGCCATGTTTAAGGCATTTAAAGCCTATAAAAGTTTAATCAAAGCAGTCAACTGGTATTGTTATAAAGTCAAAGATATTTGGAATAATTTCAATTTGACAGACAAACAAATTTTAGGTCTTCAAACATGCTCAAATTATAAAGATGTTCTAATAGCAAGGAAAATTATCCAACTTTTCAACTACAACAACTATTTTGGTAATATAAAAAGTGAGTTTCATAAACAAAAGATATTAAATTTGAAGACACTTTAAAAAAAAAAAAAAACTGGTATTGGAGTTAATGCCCAGACACAGGAATGGACAGATGGATGGATGGTTGGATGGATGGACAGATAGTAAGACAAGTGGGTGATAACAATAGCTCACAATGTGAGCTAATAATACTAAATATTGTACCAACCGTTTACAGTCTGTTTGCAATGTGATGAGCATGGAGAGAGTTGACAGCTGGTTATTCTCTGAAACATTCTCTGGGTAATTCTGAAGTAAAGCACTTAGTAGTTGCAGTCTGCAATAGAAATCACATTGTAACTATCACTAAGGGGTGCATTTGTTCTGATAAAGGGTCATTGAAGGTCAAATCTCAAATCTAAAGTGAGATTTGGACTTCTGAGAACTTCGAAGTTGATTCTGAAAAAATTTGAAATCAGCCTTAACAGAACTTGATATTTGAAGTTGTAAAAATTTGTAACAAGACTATTGCTCTCATTGGCACGTGTCTTAATTGTCTCAATAAGTGCCTCCGATTGGTACTTACCTGGGAGCCATCAACAGAAATTTTGTAAAATCCTTTGTTCTCCAACTGTAATGTCATTATATCCATTGTTACAACAATTGATTTACGAATTTGGACTTCATGAAATTTCTCTTAATGACCCCCTAGCTTAATTACCTGACTATTGCTCTCCTTGGCACCTGTCTTAATGATCCCAATGAGTATCTACCCTTTGTATTTACCTGGCTATCACCTGACTATCACTCTCCTTGGCACCTGTCTTAATGGTCCCAATGAGTATCTACCCTTGGTATTTACCTGGCTATCACCTGACTATCACTCTCCTTGGCACCTGTCTTAATGGTCCCAATGAGTATCTACCCTTGGTACTTACCTGGCTATCACCTGACTATCACTCTCCTTGGCACCTGTCTTAATGGTCCCAATGAGTATCTACCCTTGGTACTTACCTGGCTATCACCTGACTATCAGTCTCCTTGGCACCTGTCTTAATGGTCCCAATGAGTATCTACTCTTGGTACTTACCTGGCTATCACCTGACTATCGCTCTCCTTGGCACCTGTCTTAATGATCCCAATGAGTATCTACCCTTTGTATTTACCTGGCTATCACCTGGCTATCACCTGACTATCACTCTCCTTGGCACCTGTCTTAATGGTCCCAATGAGTATCTACCCTTGGTATTTACCTGGCTATCACCTGACTATCACTCTCCTTGGTACCTGTCTTAATGGTCCCAATGAGTATCTACCCTTGGTACTTACCTGGCTATCACCTGACTATCACTCTCCTTGGCACCTGTCTTAATGGTCCCAATGAGTATCTACCCTTGGTATTTACCTGGCTATCACCTGACTATCACTCTCCTTGGCACCTGTCTTAATGGTCCCAATGAGTATCTACCCTTGGTACTTACCTGGCTATCACCTGACTATCACTCTCCTTGGCACCTGTCTTAATGGTCTCAATGAGTATCTACCCCTGGTATTTACCTGGCTATCACCTGACTATCACTCTCCTTGGCACCTGTCTTAATGGTCCCAATGAGTATCTACCCTTGGTACTTACCTGGCTATCACCTGACTATCACTCTCCTTGGCACCTGTCTTAATGGTCCCAATGAGTATCTACCCTTGGTACTTACCTGGCTATCACCTGACTATCACTCTCCTTGGCACCTGTCTTAATGGTCCCAATGAGTATCTACCCTTGGTATTTACCTGGCTATCACCTGACTATCACTCTCCTTGGCACCTGTCTTAATGGTCCCAATGAGTATCTTCCCTTGGTACTTACCTGGCTATCACCTGACTATTGCTCTCCTTGGCACCTGTCTTAATGGTCCCAATGAGTATCTACCCTTGGTACTTACCTGGCTATCACCTGACTATCACTCTCCCTGGCACCTGTCTTAATGGTCCCAATGAGTATCTACGCTTGGTACTTACCTGGCTATCACCTGACTATCACTCTCCTTGGCACCTGTCTTAATGGTCCCAATGAGTATCTACTCTTGGTTATTACCTGGCTATCACCTGACTATCGCTCTCCTTGGCACCTGTCTTAATGGTCCCAATGAGTATCTACCCTTGGTACTTACCTGGCTATCACCTGACTATCACTCTCCTTGGCACCTGTCTTAATGGTCCTAATGAGTATCTACCCTTGGTACTTACCTGGCTATCACCTGACTATCACTCTCCTTGGCACCTGTCTTAATGGTCCCAATGAGTATCTACCCTTGGTACTTACCTGGCTATCACCTGACTATCACTCTCCTTGGCACCTGTCTTAATGGACCCAGGAGTATCTACCCTTGGTACTTACCTGGCTATCACCTGACTATCACTCTCCTTGGCACCTGTCTTTAATGGTCCCAATGAGTATCTACCCTTGGTACTTACCTGGCTATCACCTGACTATTGCTCTCCTTGGCACCTGTCTTAATGGTCCCAATGAGTATCTACCTTTGGTATTTACCTGGCTATCACCTGACTATCACTCTCAATGGCACCTGTCTTAATGGTCCCAATGAGTATCTACCCTTGGTACTTACCTGGCTATCACCTGACTATCACTCTCCTTGGCACCTGTCTTAATGGTCCCAATGAGTACCTACCCTTGGTACTTACCTGGCTATCACCTGACTATCACTCTCCTTGGCACCTGTCCTAATGGTCCCAATGAGTATCTACCCTTGGTACTTACCTGGCTATCACCTGACTATCACACTCCTTGGCACCTGTCTTAATGGTCCCAATGAGTATCTACCCTTGGTATTAACCTGGCTATCACCTGACTAACACTTTCCTTGGCACCTGTCTTAATGGTCCCAATGAGTATCTTCCCTTGGTACTTACCTGGCTATCACTTGACTATCACTCTCCTTGGCACCTGTCCTAATGGTCCCAATGAGTATCTACTCTTGGTACTTACCTGGCTATCACCTGACTATCACTCTCCCTGGCACCTGTCTAATGGTCCCAATGAGTATCTACCCTTGGTACTTACCTGGCTATCACCTGACTATCACTCTCCTTGGCACCTGTCTTAATGGTCCTAATGAGTATCTACTCTTGGTACTTACCTGGCTATCACCTGACTATTGCTCTCCTTGGCACCTGTCTTAATGGTCCCAATGAGTATCCACCCTTGGTACTTACCTGGCTATCACCTGACTATCACTCTCCTTGGCACCTGTCTTAATGGTCCCAATGAGTATCTTCCCTTGGTACTTACCTGGCTATCACCTGACTATTGCTCTCCTTGGCACCTGTCTTAATGGTCCCAATGAGTATCTACCCTTGGTACTTACCTGGCTATCACCTGACTATCACTCTCCCTGGCACCTGTCTTAATGGTCCCAATGAGTATCTATGCTTGGTACTTACCTGGCTATCACCTGACTATCACTCTCCTTGGCACCTGTCTTAATGGTCCCAATGAGTATCTACTCTTGGTTATTACCTGGCTATCACCTGACTATCGCTCTCCTTGGCACCTGTCTTAATGGTCCCAATGAGTATCTAACCTTGGTACTTACCTGGCTATCACCTGACTATCACTCTCCTTGGCACCTGTCTTAATGGTCCTAATGAGTATCTACCCTTGGTACTTACCTGGCTATCACCTGACTATCACTCTCCTTGGCACCTGTCTTAATGGTCCTAATGAGTATCTACCCTTGGTACTTACCTGGCTATCACCTGACTATCACTCTCCTTGGCACCTGTCTTAATGGTCCCAATGAGTATCTACCCTTGGTACTTACCTGGCTATCACCTGACTATCACTCTCCTTGGCACCTGTCTTAATGGACCCAGGAGTATCTACCCTTATTACTTACCTGGCTATCACCTGACTATCACTCTCCTTGGCACCTGTCTTTAATGGTCCCAATGAGTATCTACCCTTGGTACTTACCTGGCTATCACCTGACTATTGCTCTCCTTGGCACCTGTCTTAATGGTCCCAATGAGTATCTACCCTTGGTACTTACCTGGCTATCACCTGACTATTGCTCTCAATGGCACCTGTCTTAATGGTCCCAATGAGTATCTACCTTTGGTATTTACCTGGCTATCACCTGACTATCACTCTCCTTGGCACCTGTCTTAATGGTCCCAATGAGTATCTACCCTTGGTACTAACCTGGCTATCACCTGACTATCACTCTCCTTGGCACCTGTCCTAATGGTCCCAATGAGTATCTACCCTTGGTACTTACCTGGCTATCACCTGACTATCACACTCCTTGGCACCTGTCTTAATGGTCCCAATGAGTATCTACCCTTGGTATTAACCTGGCTATCACCTGACTAACACTTTCCTTGGCACCTGTCTTAATGGTCCCAATGAGTATCTTCCCTTGGTACTTACCTGGCTATCACCTGACTATCACTCTCCTTGGCACCTGTCCTAATGGTCCCAATGAGTATCTACTCTTGGTACTTACCTGGCTATCACCTGACTATCACTCTCCCTGGCACCTGTCTAATGGTCCCAATGAGTATCTACCCTTGGTACTTACCTGGCTATCACCTGACTATCACTCTCCTTGGCACCTGTCTTAATGGTCCCAATGAGTATCTTCTCTTGGTACTTACCTGGCTATCACCTGACTATTGCTCTCCTTGGCACCTGTCTTAATGGTCCCAATGAGTATCTACCCTTGGTACTTACCTGGCTATCACCTGACTATCACTCTCCTTGGCACCTGTCTTAATGGTCCCAATGAGTATCTACCCTTGGTACTTACCTGGCTATCACCTGACTATCACTCTCCTTGGCACCTGTCTTAATGGTCCCAACGAGTATCTACCCTTGGTATTTACCTGGCTATCACCTGACTATCACTCTCCTTGGCACCTGTCTTAATGGTCCCAATGAGTATCTACCCTTGGTACTTACCTGGCTATCACCTGACTATCACTCTCCTTGGCACCTGTCTTAATGGTCCCAATGAGTATCTACCCTTGGTATTTACCTGGCTATCACCTGACTATCACTCTCCTTGGCACCTGTCTTAATGGTCCCAATGAGTATCTACCCTTGGTATTTACCTGGCTATCACCTGACTATCACTCTCCTTGGCACCTGTCTTAATGGTCCCAATGAGTATCTACCCTTGGTACTTACCTGGCTATCACCTGACTATCACTCTCCTTGGCACCTGTCTTAATGGTCCCAATGAGTATCTACCCTTGGTACTTACCTGGCTATCACCTGACTATCACTCTCCTTGGCACCTGTCTTAATGGTCCAAATGAGTA